CCCAGTCCAGGTGATGTTATGTGACGAAGGGAGAGACGAGGAACAAAGAGCTTTCTATCCCCAACTGACCCTGCGAAGTTATCGCCCAGTTGCAAAGACCTGCCGAATGTCAGCCAGAAGGTCTGCTGCTGCTGCTGCTGCTGCTGCTGCTGCTGCTGCTGCTGCTGCTTCTGCTCCCTCCCTCGATCCTCCTTCTACCTCTCCGTCTTCGCTCAGCACCATCGTGTGTCGTCGTCCGCATGCCACCTGCATCTCGTCACTCCTCCCCGGTATCCTCCTGCCCTACCTGCTTAACTCGCAGCCTCTCTCCTCCTCCTCCTCCTCCTCCTCCTCTCCTCCCCTTCCACATTTCCACGGTTCTCAGCTTGTCTTCGCAGCTGCTCGGCACTTGTCAAGCTCTTCCCCAGCAAAGTTTGACAACCTCACGGCGGGGATTCCCAGCTGACCCCTCGAGTTATCGCCGCAGCAGCAGAGCGAGCTGTCGCCCAGCAGTAACACCTGCAACATCATCAGCACCATCCTCCTCCTCCTCCTCCTCCTCCTCCTCCTCCTCCTTCCCATCGTTGTGCTGTTCACCCCACCTCCGCCTCCTCCTCCCCATCCTCCATGCTTTTTCTTACTGAGTGGTGGCTGCCACAGGCTATGAACGTCACCCTCGCCTCCTCCTCCTCTTCTCGCTTGTCTCGTTGCGGCGGCGGCGGCAGTTGACGAGCTGAGAGTTCGCGGGGGGAGAGGAAGGAGAGGCCCAGCTGGCCTCTCGAGTTTGCGCCTGACGCCCAGACGATGCCGGAGGAGGAGAGGAAGAGAGAATGACACGCGCCGCACGCCAACAGACTGATCCTCCTCCCGCACATGCTCTCCACCTGCACCAAGAGCCTTATCCTCCTGCCTCCTGCCTCCTGCCTCCTGCCTCCTGCCTCCTGCCTCCTGCCTCCTCGCCTCCTCGCCTCCTCGTCCTCCTGCCTCCTGCCTCCTGCCCCCTGCCTCCTGCCGCCTGCCCCCTGCCGCCTGCCTCCTGCCTCCTGCCTCCTGCCCCCTGCCTCCTCCCTCGCCTCCCTCGCCTCCCTCGCTGCCTCCTGCCTCCTGCCTCCTGCCTCCTGCCTCCTGCCTCCTGCTTCCTGCCTGCCTCCCTCCCTCCTCCTCACCTTGATTGGCTCAGCAACTTCTGTTCGTTGCTCCTTGTCGTCTCCTCCTCCCACCCCGAGCTGCCCGATCGAGTTGTCGCCCCACCCGAAGACTTCATCGCACCAGAGGAGGAGCAGCGTGTGACTCTGACCGCACGCCACCATCCGCACCTTCATCCCCTCCTCCCACCTTCGCTCCACCCTCTCCCACCTCCAGCTGCTCCCTCCCTTCCTGCCCAGCTGCCCGCTCTCGTTGCAGCCCACCGACAGCAGCGTCTCCTCGTCCTCCAGCACGACGATCGAGTGAGCTTCTCCTCCTGCTACCTCCCACGCCTTCACCCCTCCTCCTGTGAATGACAACACCTGCACAGATTTCATTCCCACCCCCACTCCCACTCCCACTCCTGCTCCTGCTCCTGCTCCTGCTCCTGCTCCTGCTCCTGCTCCTGCTCCTGCTCCTACCTCGTCCCCGTGTCCCAACCCTAGTTGTCCGTAGTTGTTCAGTCCAGCTCCCATGATCTCAAGCGTCGTCCAGCGCGTTTCTGCTCAAGTCAAGGTCACCTTCCTATCCCTCTCTCCTCCTCTTCTTCCTCCCGCTCCTCCTCCCGCTCCTCCTCCCGCTCCTCCTCCCGCTCCTCATCTTCCGTGTCCTCTCCATCTTTCCCCTGTCCTCTCTTCCTCTTCTCACCTCTCGCATTCTTGTAGCAAATGGCTGGAGCGCGATCCCGCAAGTTTGGCTCCTTGTATGCCACCGGAAAGAAACTCTCCTCCTCCTCCTCCTCCTCCTCCTCCTCCTGCTCTTTGCTCTGTTGTTCCTCCTGCTTCTCTTTGCTCCTCCTCTTGTCCGTGTCCTCTTTCACTTTCTCGTTAGACACACAACTGACCAACAAGTCAGTCGGTCCGTCCGTCCTCTCCTCCTCCTCCTCCTCCTCCTCCTCTTCCCTCACCTTCTCGCTACTTCATCTCGTCCGCTTCCCATGGAGGCAAAAGTCGCTGCCCAGGCGTCAAGAGAAACTCCTTCTCCCTCCTTGACCCCCCCGTCTCTCTTCGCCTCCTCCTCTGCAAGGCTTCCTCGCACCTTCCCCTCTCCCCCTCCTTTGCTGGTCGACATGTGGTGACCCGGAAGTTTTCCCCATGAGAAGATTGAAGTCGCTTCTTGCTCCTCCTTCCCTTCCCGCTCCTCCTCTCCCTTCTCATCCTCTTCTCTCTCCTCCTCTCCCTTCTTATCCTCCTCCTCTATCCTCTTCTCCCTCTTCTCTTCTGCTTGCTTGAGCAGCTTCTCGACGTTCGCGTCCCTCACACGAGACACTCTCTGCAGCTGCAACTGACTCAGACAGAGAAAACAAACACGAGAGGTTGAAGGAGGAAGAGGGAGAGAAGGGAGTGGGTGGGAGGAGAGGAGGGAGGAGGGAGAGGAGGGAGGGAGGAGGGAAGAGAGGAAGAGTTCTACCTCTTTCAAGTCATCACAGCACTGATCCCATCGCTGGAGCTCGGAGAGGGCGAGGGCTCGTCGGTAGAGAGCCTTGGGAAGGAACGGCTGCCTCTGCAGCGCCAGGGAGGAGAAGCGAAGAACCTGCGGGAAGGTCATATAGGGAGCAAGCGAAGAGATAAAGGGGTGGAGAGAGCAGAAGGAAAGAGAGGGGGAGGGAGGGAAAGGGGGGGAAGGAGGAGAGGATGGAGGGAAAAGGAAGAAGAGAGCAAGGAGGAGGGAGGGGAGCAGGGGGAGGAGGAGGGAGAGTAAGAGGGGGAGGAGGGAGAGGAGGAGGGAGAGGAGGAGGGAGAGGAGGAGGGAGAGGAGGAGGGAGAGGAGGGAGGGGGAGAAGGAGGCAGGAGAGGGAGGGGGAGAAGGGGAGGCTTCAGCAGCACCTCTTCAAACTCACGAGTCTTGAGACAAGCTGCCGCCAGGTTCTGAAGGCAGGAGAGGATCAACTCTTGTGCTTCAGAGGAGAACGACTGACGCGCTTCCTCTTCCTCCTCCTCCTCCTCCTCTCTCTTCCCCATGTCTTCATTCTTCTTCGTTTCCTCCTGCATGGCCAGCAGCATCGCAAGAGACTTCTGGTACAGCAGTTTGGCCTCCTCCCACTTCCCCTGCTTGTACTTCTCGTTTCCTGTCTTGCTCTCACTCGACAACATGAACATCTCCATCACCTCTCAGCCTCACGACAGCTGCTTCCTCCATCCTCCGGTTTCCTGATTTCCCCTTTCAGACCTCCTTTACTCCTCCTCCTCCCTTCTTCTCCCTCCTGTCTCTCTCCCCCTCCCCATCCCCCTCCTCTTCCTCCTCCTCTCTTCTTCTTCCCTCCTGTCCCCCCCCCTCCCCCCCTCCGCCGCCCACTTTCCTCCACCATCACCTCATCATCATCATCTCTCTGCTCCTCCACTTACCTTTCGGTGAAGTCTTCTCCTCTACCTGCTTCCGATTCTCCCCGCCTTCTTCTCTTCCCCCTTCGTCTCTCCTGCTCCCGTCTTCCCTCCCTCCACCCTGCCCCAGGAGAACAAATGTGCTTCCAGGTCTCTTGCTCCCTCCAACCCCAGCGCAACTTCTGCTGCCATGCGCACTCGCTCGTTCTCGTCCTTCAGGCACTCAGACAGGATGGCGATCACCTACAACACCTCGTGACTCCTCTTCCTTCCCCCATCCTCTCCTCCCTCCCTCTCATCCCTCCCCTCCCCCTCCCTCCCTCCCTCCCTCCCTCCTCCACCTAGCCTCATCGTCCCTCCTCGCCCTCTGCCCCTCTGCCCCTCTGCTATTCTCTTCCTACTCACATGATGTGGCGTGTCCTCGCCCTTTGGCGACAACTTGACCAGAGCTTTCACCGCAGCCTCCCTCACGCTCCAGTCCTTGTCACTTACTGCCATCTCCCCTACCTCCTTCATGGTATCGACTCCTCCTCCCGCCAGCACTGCAAACTCTGTCAAGTGACCCTCCATCCTCCCTCCTCTCTCCCACCTCTCTCTTCTTCTCTCCCTCTCCCTCTCCCTCGCTCTCCCTCCCTCCCTCCTCCTCCTTCACCTTGCTGCTTCAGCCATCGTTTCCTCGACTCCACGTCTCCGACCATGACAAAGCTTAGGGGGACTACCCCACCCACCCTCACCTCAAAATATTCACTCTTTGCAGGGGGTACTCAACCGTGTGGGAGGGATCAGGAGAGCAGAGAGGAGGGAGGAAGAGGGAAGAGGAGCAGGAGCAGGAGGAGCAGGAGCAGGAGGAGCAGGAGCAGGAGCAGGAGGAGCAGGAGCAGGAGCAGGAGCAGGAGGAGCAGGAGCAGGAGCAGGAGCAGGAGCAGGAGCAGGAGCAGGAGCAGGAGCAGCAGGAGGAGGAGCAGGAGGAGCAAGGAAGACTTGTGACAGCTCAGGGGAAGGAGGGCAGGTCAAAGTGACCATGTTGATGTCAGAAGGTGAGCAAGAGAGTCGAGCTGGTGGGCTGCTATCTGTTCAGCAGTGCAACCCATTCGAGCTCCAAGTAGCTCGACGAGATGGGGTTGCGGCTCAAGCAAGGGTTTGCACATTGCTCCTGCACAGTGTGCAGTTGACTGATGTTGGAGAGAGCGCGAGGAAGAGAAATGTTGAGACTCGCTGCTTCGAAGGTGCAGGTTGTTTGGAGGGAAGTCACACGGAAGAAGGAGGGGGGGGGGGGGAGGTAAAGGAAGTCAACTTGACGGAGACGACAAGTCGGAGAGATCCTTTGTTGCAGGATGTTGCCAGATGAGCTTCAGATGGAGTGCAGCTGGGCTCGCCATGTTTCATGCCCGATCCGCTCGCTTCTTCGCTGTCGAGCTCTGTTGTATACACAACCTTGCGTGAGATGTTGAGCTCAGATGATTTTAGGATCTCTGTTTATTAAGCGCACACACTCATCAGATCAGCAGCACCACTGCAGCGATCTGGCATCATCATCCTATATCCTTACGCTACGTCCAAGGGGCGTCCGGTATGAGTCCAGAGTACAACAAGCTCCTTCACTTCCTTGCAGTCACGACATATCATGTTCATCCTATCCAAGCTGCTCAGAGCATCTCTGGACTAGAGTAGCTGGGATGTGTATCGGTACGCAGATTCACTCGCCAAGCAATCATGCTTCATCCGTTTGAGTTCTTGTGTGTTTGAGCGAGGAGTTGGGACATGTTAGTCTGAGTCACAGGTGAATCAGAGGTCAGGGATGTTTTCAAGCTCTTGTAACTTTAAAGACCTTGTTGGGTTTCCTTCAATAAGCAGACCAACGATGCGCAAGACAGGAAGACTTGAGAAGAGGCGAGATTCAGAGAAGTGACGACATCATTCGAATTTGATTTACAAGTAGAGGAAATCGCGAAATAGAAAAGAAAATGGTCGAGAAGAAAGAGAAAGAGTAAGAGAAACAAACATAATGATGCTGGTGTGCTGTTAGAGGCAAAGGATCACAAGACGTTGAACACCAGAACGTTTAAGACTGAAGGAGACGATGATCAAGACTGAAACAGGAGTGGATGATAATGAGCAAGCAAATGGGGGAGATGGAGGAGCAGGATCCAAGGTGGAGCAGGTGGAGCAGGAGCAGGATCAGGAGCAGGATCAGGAGCAGGATCAGGAGTAGGATCAGGATCAGGATCAGGAGTAGGAGCAGGAGCAGGAGCAGGAAGGACCGGGAGGGAGTGACGGGGGGGCGAAGGATCGAAAAACTTCTATTTCTGACTTCGGCCACCCCCCACCCCTCATTTATCCACCTCGAACCCCCTGGTATACATCACGGATCGTTGCGTCTTACGACTTCTTGAGGCGATGACGTGGACCCGTGGGACCTTCAAGGTTTTGCCAAGTGCAAGAGAGTCGATATGATATGATACCCCTCCTCCCCCTGACCTCCGTCCCCCCCCTCCCCCCTCAGCCCCTCTCGTTCTCTGCTGACGTCATCGGGTTACTTATACCCTGCCTGTACCTTGGTCCCCATCGGAGTGGCTCACCATAGCTCAGTTGGCAGAGCATCTGACTGTAGAGATTCGCAGACATCAGAGTGTCCTTGGTTCGATTCCGAGTGGTGAGAGTCAACGAGGCTATCTCCGACACTTTTTTGCTGTTCAAGTTATCGATCATTTAGTTCAGATCCGACTCGTTGAACTTTCACGGATGGATCTTCACTGAGACTACAGTGTGCTGGGACTCAGATGTGGATTCGGCTCAAGCCTGGCAATCTGCGTGACCGTACGGGCCAATGAAGTTTTTCGCCCACGGTTGCAGCCGAGTGACTGAGCCGCCTGTGCGACCGTCGGACCGACCGTCACCGTCCAGTCACGGTCCAGGCACTGATCGAGTCCGGGATCATCCGGCGGGACTCCGGGAGTCATCCGCCGGCGGATTGAGTTGGGACCAGGTACTACGTGGGCCGCCTTCAACAGCCGTCACCAGGCCGCCTCCGACACGCGGGGGCCCCGGCCGTGACGGTTCGGATCGGACGCCCGGCCGAGACTCGGTCGGTCGGCGCCGGGGCCCGCCCCGGGCCGCGGCGCGCCGTCTGAGTCTTTGTAACGGTGTTTATAACGCTTTCAAATGGTATGAGCGGGGAAGGGGCCTGACCATGGCGGAGAAGGCGCTGGAGGGGGTGGCAAGGCTGCTGGCAGAGGAGGAGGGGGAGGGGGAGGAGAGCAAGAGAGAGAGTAGAGAGAACGGGAAGGAAGGTAAGGAGATGCTCGTGGAGATAGAGGAAGGGGAAAGGTGTGCCGCAGAGACAGATGGAGGAGACCAACACGCGCTGGTGGGGGGAGGGGATTCGGATGTTGGGGGTAGAGACAGCGAGACGCTCCTGCACCCTCAAGACTGGACAGACGCCCCTGCTCCGACAAGCAGGTTGCCCGAAGCGGCTGAGGAGGAGAAATCTGGAAGGGAGGGGAGGGTGAAGCCCAGGGCAAACGCAGCAAGCCTTCTGAGAGCAAGGGAGGAGGAGACAACGAAGCGAGGTAAAGACAGGTTCTGGCTGATGCTTCTTCTCGTATCCATCATCTTCGAGAGCTCGACATTCTTCTATGCCATCGGTCATGGCAGCGTCAAGGCGCTGGAGGAGCTCGAAGAGGAGGAAGACTGGGTGGGCAAGGGGCTGTCGCAGGTGACGAGCAAGAGAGAGAGAGAGAGAGAGAGAGAGAGAGAGAGAGAGAGAGGGAGGGAGGGAGGGAGGGAGGGAGGGAGAGTGAGAGATCGAGAGATAGACAGAGACCTATTGCGACAGACAGACAGAGAGGGGAAAGTAGAAGATGAGGCGAGACGACGATTTCCTAGGACGAGGAGAGACACGGAACATCTAGCTTGCTCGGCCTCCCCAACAAAGCCTGATCCTTTGTGTTTAGTGGCATGCTGCTCCCTAGCACGGTCCTCAGGCACTGCACCTTCTGCCACTACGCGAGTCCCGGCACCTCCTGCCGGAGCGTAAGACCCCCAACCGTCGCGGAGGTTCTGGCGACCACCTCCTGCTTACCATTTTGACTGTGACTTGGTCCCAATGATCCAGGGACACATGGCCTAGCTC